AGATTAATAAATGTAAATAACGTACATCTGACAAGATATATAATAAATAACATTTACCTGAGAAGATTGAAAAGAAATCTGTAATGTGAGGAGTTAATGAAAAGACAATACAGTATCTTGTCAGAACAAAATGAACATTCGTTTTCGTTCATTTTGCAGAAAAAAAAGTGCAAAGCGCTTTATACAATTCTTCTCACTCTACCAAACTTCGAATACTTTAATTTCCTGAAGCTTTTCGTAGCTAGTTGATGAATCATAAAACGAAACTTTCAAATCATCCAATTCCAATAAAGTCATAATAAAATTCATTCAACAGCCAGCAACTGTAGCCACTGAGTTTCTGTTTCTTTCGTAAATCTGTTAAACGCGTTAAATTACCGCAACTCGTATTTTCGGTTCGTCTGAAAAAATCCGCGAGGAAGAGAAAGAGAGAAAGCGTATCGAAAGCGCACGATCTAGCAACGATTCTCAACGCTCGGTTACAAGACGTTCACCGTTGCTGTGCACTTGCACGTGCAACGCGCAAGAACACCGAACCGCGACGCGCTCAAGAAGTTTTTAGCCTAACGCGCGACGACAATAAAACGCGTGCAACGCGCGTGCAATACGCGCGCATCGTGCTCCGCGTTCTTGCCCCGTTCATGGCGTGTTATAGCGGGTCGTAGCGTTAAATTTCGGACAATGATTTGTGCGCGGGATTGGTCGCGGTGCGGGCGTGCCTCGCGCGTACAATTGCCGCGACGATGAAATATGGAACACGTGAGCTTTACTGTTTTACGACCGAGTGTCTTGCTCGCGATCAACGATGAATCTTTGAGAGGATCGGATATTTTTGCCGCGACTCTATACGAGATAGAACTTACTGTAACTAGCGGAGCTTTTCATATTCAATCGATTAATAGAATTTTCGAAACTATTTTTTTTTTTTTTTTTGTATTTAATTGCGCATAATCCAGATGGAGATCAAGAAAACTTCGATTTTCAATATTTTTATTTAGAATTTTTATATTATTATATATTATTAATATATTATTGTTATTGTTATTATTATTATCATTATTATTATTTTTTTTCATAATTTTTATTTCAATATTTAACACTGGAATAACGAAACCCGTGAGTATGATGGATTTTAGAGACCTTTCTTATACATCTTCATCATTCTTGTCTCAGTACATGGAAACATTATTATTTAGACATTTTCGTCACACGTACAACTTCGTTATTCATTTGTCACGAAATTAAATGTAGGTTTTTTATATTACATTCCATCAATATTGCTTTTTTTTTAAATAAAATATTGCTAATGTTTTAGCAAGTTCTCTAGGAAGGTAAATGAGTCCTCTTTCGTTAAAAATCAGCACAGTAATTATAAAAATTATAATACATTCAATTTTGCTTTCACGTATTCGTCGAAATAAATAATACGATTCGTACGTTGGACATAGAGAATTCCAATCAGAATTGAGACATTTGTTAAATCGACGTGTTCCGTCGAAAGAAGTGCCAGTCATTTCGCTCCCCTTAATGAGCGTACGTGATGGGCATATCGATAATTATCCATGCACCACACACGACAATATTCAGATACGTTAATAGTTTTTACGTCTGCGTTAAGTGTCGGGCAAATTTACATTTTTATCACGGTTGCACCCAATTGCATTGTCGATAAGACCAACAAATGCTAAAAAAACAAACGAAGCAATTTCGAGGTTTCTTGACTTTCGGCTTGAAAACGGCAAAAAAAAAAAAAAAAACGTTTCTATGTAGTTATACGTGTTAAAATTCTTAAATATCTTTCTAAATTTCCTCAGGCATCTCAGAGTATATTCATTAAATTTATATTGAAATGAAATTTCCTAGTCTCTCATTACATATTACATATCTTCTTGGTATATTACGAAATTGCAAAACACACGGAAAGACTTGCAACCTGATATTTCCATTAAATCTTTGTGTCTCTCAGGGCCAGGATTACACTCGTTAAATTAAATTTATATTCAAGTAAAGTTTTGTTACTTTTTTATTACGCACCTTTATGAGACGTTTCGAAATTGTCGAACGTACGAAAAGATTTGTGATTTGATACTTTTAAATGAACGATGAATGGAGAAATAACGGTGAAAAGGTATAATAAACGCAGCGATTCAGAAAACGCAGTGATTTTCTTTGATTTTTATTGGCGCATTAAACGAAGGATTATAGAAATTCCGACGTTAATTGAAAAAAAAGTGTGAATCATTGAGCGATAGATGGCTTGCCTCACAGATTACTTTAATTGCATGAGTAGTCGAGAAGAGTGTCGTATATATACATATGTATAGCTTGACACAAATGTTTACATACTGCACGATGCAATAATTTTCAATTTCTTCGCGTTTCTCTAGGATTTTCAACGTTTTTCAACGCTTTTATTAAAATTGAAGGATTTCGATGAGGTTTAATTGCTATTCGTAATTTGTATGCATACTATTAATTAAGTTCATTACCAACAATAATTTTTCTACATGTTACTATGCATCGTGTACATTACTCATTACACATTATTACGTTTATGATATAGTATTATCAATTTTCAGAAGATGTATGATATAATATATCATGACATGAGATTACAAATCTTTTCTTGTAGATTGAGCAACAACTTTGAAACATTCAAAAAAGATACATAACAAAACTTGAATATTTTAACAAGCACAATCCAACGGATCTAAACAGTTTCAGAGAGAGATTCGAAAGTCTGAGAGATTTAATATAATAAAAGAAAAATATTAATTCGTAAATCTTTATATACGTTCTACATTTAATGAATGCAATCTAATCTGTCTAAAGGGATTTAGAAATCTAAGTGATCCGAAGCAAAAGTATCAAGTCACAGATCTTTTCGTGCGTTCCACAATATCGAGACACTCCAAGAAGAGCACGTAATAAGAGAGTAACAAATTTCGCCTTTTACCACGCGGAAATTTTCGCGAGGATTGATATAATGACGTGCCGCTTGCCGGATAAAAATAACAATTTAATTCTCGGGAAGTGAGGAAGTATCAATTTCGTCGATGAAAGCGTCAGATAGTCCGGCAAATCGCACGAGACGAGGATGTATCGGCGATGGGTAGACAATTACCAAGACAAGAACGCAATATCTAACGGGCAAAAGCAATTAACAGGATGCTCATTACGTGACGCGTCTGCGCGAAATTGCCCCCACGAACCGATAATCATTCTAAAATAGACGACGCATCACCCACTTTTCGTAATGGAGGCCTTAAACGCTCGAATAAAGACGGCTCTTGTGTGAAAATCATTTAACGCGCCACACGCAAGAGAAGGAAGCTGGCACAAATTGACTATCGCAGTCTGAATATTAAGAAAACGAAATTGAATAACAGAAATCGATCGGAGAGAATTGCAAACGAACGTCACGTTGGCCTTTATTTTGTTAATTTATCGTTAATTCATCTTGCAACGGATAGAATTGAAGACAAGTAACATTTCACACTTGAACTTCTGCTATAATGGAAATATGTAATTAAATAATACGTATAAAGGAAATACAATTGAAATAAATTGTAACGCATATAGCGGGCTTGTGTTCCATAATTCTAAAATGAACATAACAATTTCCCTCATTGTAATATTTCTTTGTCGAGTTTCGATATTATATTCATACGTACATTCATCGATATATTCATACGTATTATTAATTTTATTAGTAGATTTTGTTTGATTAATTCACGAATCTTTTTCTCTCGAAGAAGGTTCGAGCAATTCTATTAAATAACTGTATTAATTAAAGTTGAGGCGTAAAATGAAACGCCGACGTTAAGGGATATCGTGCACGGTAATTTGATTTCAGCCAAACGATTTTTATCAGCTGTGAAATTATTGTTAAAGCATATACGAGAGAGAACAGACGTTAGCGACACGAGTTCGCCCACATCGCCTGTCCACCTTTTATATTCTTGACTTCCGTTGCCAGAAAAGGCAACTCTAAGCGTGGGTGTACGAAATTTCCGCGCGCTGTTACTAGGTCGTGCATAAAAAGAGGTGAAATCAATTTCGCGCAGGCACACACTCAACGGCATTGTCGTGACACGTATGAAACAATGGATGAAACACGGATCCTCGCTATCATAAGTAGATTAACGCTAGAACTAACCGACGACTAAAGTATAAAACTTGTGTCTGTATTTGTACGAAATATAATCATTCAAATATGAAAAAGTGAACTGTAGAGATCTTATGAACATAATAATTTCGGTAATTATTTATAGATTTATTATCTTCCTTTAAAGCTTTCGTTAAAAATAAAAATTATACTATTAATAGATTTTTTAGAAGAACTAAGATTGGCTAAACCAGAATCAATTTGTTTTTAATTCATAATTGGTAATCTACTATAACATTTCTTTTTTTACTAGACTACGAATTTTTGTAGAATATTCGAAGGTGCGAAAAAACTAACATGGAGAAATATATAAATCATTCTATTAAAAGTAATTAAAATTCTATAAAATTTAGCAAGTAGGAATATAAATTAATCTACTACTGATCTCCATCGCGTAGAATACAAAATAAAATCAAATTTGAACAATCCCTAAATGATCTAAAATAAATTTTAATAACCCCGCTTTAATAATCTAATCTACTGTACTCTATAAACTGCGAGCCAACTATACTACACGAGCGTTAATTTATTAATTATTACAGAATTACGGAAGTAATCTCTAGTTTTAAACGGACGAAATGTCGGATAAAAACTCACTACTACATTAATCTACTACTGATCTCCATCGCGTAGAATACAAAATAAA